GAATTTCTTAATTCCCACCCTCATTTTTAACTTCTTAGTCCCACCCTCTTTCTGCCTATAAAAAAAAACCTTCCATTTTGTACAACACATGGGAGAGCTCTTTTAGTTGCTAGGTGGGATGCTGCCCGATTCATGAATCACTTAATAAAGCCGATCAGATGTTCACATTCACTTGGTTAAATTATGCTTTTTAACAAGGTTTTGGCTTAGAATCACTGTGTTTGTGCCTGTCTTCTTCCAGCAGCACCATGCTCTTTCACTCTCATAGTACTTTCACTCTCATAGTATTTAGTCATTCATTCATTCGTTTGACAAATACTTACTGAGTGCCAACTACATGCTAAGCCCTCTTGTAGGCTGATCTACCACACTGTATTGTCATTGCCTGCTTCAGTGCTCCATGTACGGGTGTGTGTCTGTGCATATGGCACTGTAATTCACATACCATAAAATTCACCCTTTCAAGTGTATAATTCAGTGGTTTTTAGTATATTCACAAGGTTTGGCAACCATCACTATTTTTTAATTTCAGAACCTTTTCACTACTCTAAAAAGAAAACCATTAGCAGTCATTCTCCATTTTCCCCTCCCCCCAGGCCCTGACAACCATTAACCTTTCTATCTCAATGGATTTTCTTATTCTGGACATTTCATAAATCATACAATATTGATTGGCTTCTCTTACTTAGTATAATGTTTTCAAGGTTCATCCATGATATAGCTTGTATCAGCCTTTTATTTCTTTTTATGCCTTTTTTTTTTAATCTATAGTCCATTCTCTAGATATACCATATCTATTTATTCATCAGCTGATGATCATTTGGGTTGGTTTTCACTTTTTAGTTATTTTGAATAATGCTGCTATGAACACTCATGTACAAGTTTTTTTGTGGACGTATGTTTTCATTTCGTCTGGAACTATACCTAGGAATGGTATTGCTGGGTCATATGATAACTTTATGTTTAACCTTTTTTGATGAACTGCCAGGCTGTTTTCCACAGCAGGTGTACCATTTTGCATTCCAACAGCAAGGTATGAGGGTTCTGAGTTCTGTACATCTCACCAATACTTGTTATTGTTCTCTTTTTTTTTATTCTTTATTTTGATTGTCCTCTTTGATTTAACCATCCTAGTGGGTGTGAAGAGGTTCTTCTGAAGCTCTATGTGAACAAGGACTCCTCCATCTGTCTGGATCACCACTGTATCCCAGAACTTAGTGCAGTGTCTGGCACTTATTAGATATTTGTATTTTGTTTAATACACTAAAAAGTGTTGAATGAATAGGTAAATCAGAAGCTAGTTAGATGGTTACAGTACTTGTGTATGTGTTAATCCTTATTGGAAGATATTTTTCCCATTGATTTAATATA